TCTAGTGAAGTGAGTCTCTTGAAGGCAATAGATTGGTGCCTGATGATATTTTATATATTTTGCCATTCTGTGTCTTTTCAGTGGTGCATTTAGTCCATTCACATTTAGGCTAATAATTGAAATGCAAGAGTTGATCTCTGTCATAAGGTTCTTACAGAGTTGTTCCTGTTTGTTTGTTGTCTTTCTTTGGGTTTTGGAGTTGGTTCATGTGTGTTTTTAATCTTTTGCCTGTACTCTTGTGAAGAATGCTGTTGTTCTTTTTTCTTTTTCTTCTGTGTTCAGTACTTTCTTAAGTGTTTCTTATAGAGGTGGTCTGGTGGCAGCATAGGTTCTTAGGGATTGGATATCTGGAAAAGATTTCAATTCTCCCTCACTAATGAAGCTTAGTTTGGCTAGATAGGTTATTCTTGGTTGAAATTGTTTCTCTTTTTAGAACTTTGAAGATAGGGCTCCAGGCTCTCCTGGCCTGAAGGGTTTCTGTGGATAAATCTGCTGCTATTCTAATTGGTTTTCCCTGGTAGGTAATCTGGCCTTTTTCTCTTGCTCCTTTGGGAATTTTCCTTTTATAGTTACTTTGTTTGGGCGAATTATTGTGTGTCTGGGAGTTGGTCTTCTCATTTGTTGTCTTGCAGGGGTTCTCTGAAACTCTTGTGTTTGAATTTTTTCATCCTTAATGAGATGAGGGAAGTTTTCTTGAATGATTTCATGAAATGTTTGTTCTAGTGTGGCTTCTGTTTCTCTCTCTGCCTCAGGAAGCCCAATTACTCTTAGGTTTGGTCTCTTGAAATGATCATTCATCTCTTGCAGGTTTTGTTCTGTCTTTTTGAGCTTCTTTTCTATGCTTTTGACAGTTTAGGTTAGTTCTGTGTTTTGGTCTGCGAGCTCTGAGATTCTTTCTTCTGCTTGGCTGATTCTGCTTTCCGTGCTTATAAGTCTGTTATTCATTTCCATTACAGTATTCTTTACTGCTGTCATTTCTGACATCAGCTCCTTCCTATTTTCCTCTTGTCTCTCCTCAATTTTTTAAAATTCTCTCCATTAATGTCTTGATGTCTGGGTTTGTTGCATGTAACCAGTCATTCTGGGGTCTCTTCATTGTTTGTGTTCCAGAATCTGTTTTCTCAGTGTCTGATTTCCCAGGGATCTGTGTGAGACCTATATTCTTCTTTTGGTTTTTCTTCATTTGTGCGGTTTTTCCCCCTCCCCCTCCTTCTATTTCCCTTTAGATAGGATATTATTCTTGAAGTTTTGGCCTCTTAGTTTTGCTTATTATGTTTCCTTCACACCTTGAACAGTGTACCTGGCACTTCATAGGAAGTCAGTAAATACTTGCAAAATGAATAACTTATTGCATGGATGAATTGATGCACATTCCTTTGAGAGAAGTCATTAGAAATTGTTAAACCACTCTGTGTATGCGTGTATGTGTGTGTGTGTGTGTGTGTGTCTATTGCCTGACCATATGCAATATTATATGTATTAATGCTCAAAATTAGATTTAAAAAGTCAAGCACCAAGATTTTTATTAGTGCTTTCAACATAATTTGTACAAAATAATATTGACTCTAATTTAAGTCAGTCTATCTATGTAGTGTATCCCTCTTTAACAAGTCTATTTATCAGAATTTTATGATGATATGAATGTCTAGTTGCAAAATACTCTGATCATAAATCACATCATATTGTGACTGCCAGTTTACAAGATGGAAAAAATACTTTAAAAAATAGTTAATTTCCACATATATTTTAACATATACATATCTGTATGCTAAAAATGATGCCTGTTGTGAACTAAATTGTCTTTCTCAAAATCATATATTGAAACTCTCTACCAGTGTAACTGTATTTGGAGCTGGAAACTTTAGGGTGATAATTAAGTTTAAATGAAGTGGTAAAGGTGAGTCCTTATCAAATAGAACTTGTGTCTTAATAAAAATGGAAGACACTAGAGAACTTTCTCTCTAACTTGAGAGCAGAAGGAAGGCTATGTGAAGACGCAGCGAGACCACAGGAAAATAGATCTCACCAGAAAACAAATTTTCCTATTTTTGATCTTGGACTTCTTGCCTTCAGCACTAAGAAAACGTAGACTTCTGTTATTTAAGCCGCCCAAACTGTGGTATTTTTTTCTTGCAGTCTGAATTGACTGACACAATATCCAAATTTGATCTCATATGAACTCTAACTCATATCATTTAGGGCTAGTGATCATTTATTTAGTCACGGTTTATACCTAATGTGTTTTTCCTGATGCCTTCTTTTTCTTCATCATGTTTCTACAATTACCAATGATCAATTTATCTGTTCTCTGCCTTACCATAGTTTTATAAATATTTATTCTTTTGAGAGAATGTTTAAGTTTTAGAATTTAGTTATTACTGTAACATAACTTTTAGTGTAACTTTGCTACTAAAGATACACTAATTACTTCGCTACTGATCAGAGTAGTGTTACATGGGAACATGCAGTGACAATACTCTCCATTGCTCATTCGTCACTTTATCTCTAACCACGTGTAAAGTAGTGTTTTCTCCATGAGCTGCGTTCTCTTTATACTTCACCATTGAGGGTAGTTATATTGTCATCCTTGGATTTGAATAGTAAGAGAATACATTTCAGGCTGACTGCTACATACAAGATAATTCAGTTTCTGTGCATGTCATTGACTGTATTATTTTCTTGTTGCACATTAAACATGCCCCAACCACAACCTACTGCTCTTTCCTCCTGGGTATTTAGTGTTTAATAGTGTCAGGAACAGCTGGTGTGCTTTCCAAGCACTGAGAAAGATAGTCCTTGGAGATTTACATGCTGTAGGCAATTAACTGAGACTTAATGAAGAGAGAATGGAATCTCTTCATTTTGCATTGGTTTGGTGAAAGTCAAGGAGAAGCCAACAAAACAAGTTGATGTAAGGGCATTTAATTGCATTCTTGTAAACCCCTTTAAATGAAAGTGTTAAGAACTCTTGGGGAACTTACATTGGAATCTGCTCTTTTCCCAAAGCAGGATTGATCTGTACTATTGAGTGTAACAATATCCAGTATTATGGATAAAACTGAAGAAATGTGCTACAAGTGGAATTATTTGCTATCCAGTGATCCTTTTGAGTGGCACAAAGTGGAATTATGTGACAAATATCTGCTTCTTTTATGCATTAAGGAAATATTTTTCAGTTCACACTTTTAAATATTGAAGCTTACAAAAATTAAATAATTCAATACGATTTTTGTAAGAAAATATTTATCCAGCATTCTTAGTGAAAGTTCATATTAACATTAAAACCAAAACTGTAAACAGGAAGACAATATGTATTCATCTTTGTATTCTGGAACCACTGTAGGGAATAAGATCCCACTATAGGCAGTGGGTTTGGTAAGAGTTTATTAAATTTGTTACTCAATAATTCTTAAATATTTGTTTATTTTCTATCTGTTACTAAAGGCAATACTGTTTTCAAATATATCAAATGAGTAGAACAATTCACAGTTTTTCAACTGCAATATTTATATCTATAATTGTGTCCACATTCAAAATTTGTAGACTTTGCCTGTATAACACATGTATTGTGACAGGATAGCAACCATTCAGATGAAAACTCCGGGGGAAAAACTGCTGCTGGAAAGTTACTCTTGATAAATGGCTTATTTCTATAAAAATAAGGAAAGCTAGTTTTGATGAATATTTAATACAGGTATCAATGCTTCATAGAAAAAGAAACATATGTCCAATTATGATAATTATAGTGCTAAATAGATGATAATGATGAATATCAGTCATCACTCTTGTCTCCTTAGCAATATCTATCTCCTTTCCTTCTAGAAGTTTCTGCTCTTGCAAAAGGCCACCAAAGCATCTCAAACTGAAAACATTTGCTATTGAGTGTCTACAGAAAGTTATCATTTCTTATTTTTTTCACAATCCTAACATTTTATTAAGAAAAGTATAAGTGGGGGATGATTAGTTCTCTTAGTTTTTTCTGTAAACTGTGAAGACTTGGTTTGTTCCAAATGTGAACTCTTTAAAGGCAGAATGAGTGAGTGAATGGAAAAGGACAATCCTGCTTCCCCCAAACACAGCATTTACTTTAAAGGGTTCCAAGAGATGTTAGAGTTTTGCTCACTGTATAACTTTGGATTTCTCCCATATAATCAGTAGAGATTTCCTTCTAACCATCAGTCACATATCTGCTTTTATTTGGTACAATACTTTTGATTTTACTTTGCTCTGAACTCAGAACAAGAACATTGGACAGGCCATTAGTAAGAGATATCCACTTAAACAGTTCTTAGAGACTGAACTAAATGTGCTTATGATTCAGTAAGAAAAATATAGGGGGAAAAAAGCTCCTTTCCACTTCTTTTAGTACATAAAAAATATGCCAAGTGCCAAAAAGAAGTAGAAAAGCTACAGATAATTTGGTTTTTCTGTAGTATCTTCCTATTTCACTGACCTTTAATTCAATCTTGAGGCAAAGAGTTGCTCCTGTAGTGATATTTATAATTATTTATAGTTCCTCAAATATTCATTTTTCTAATTAAAGCCTTCCTAATGCTAGCAGGTAGTTGTTGATTTTTAAATTGTTACTGCAAATTACTTAACAACCTCTAAAAATCAGAGAACTCTGAGTCTTTTAACTTCTCTCTTGATATACTAATCATAAAATTAAAGCATCAATAGTAAACTAATGAGCTAATGTAAGGGATATCCACGTTTTCTTTGGTGTGTGATTCAATAAAACTTCCATGATGACTTTCAGTTCAATGTTCAAGCTACAGATTTAAAAGTAGATATTTAAAATATGTGTTATTTGTACTATGAGCTATATCACTGCTTGATATTTTGTTTATAATGGTTAAATTATCCTCAGTGATATCATGTACTTATGGTATCCCTATGACATACCAAATTCAACAGGAAAATGGAATCCAGCAGAGAAAAGACCTGACCTTGAACCCTGTAAAACAAAAACATTCGAGTCATATTCTTTTATTTTCCAGGTGCTTATGTGCTCCAGGTCAAGGCCACAGATGCAGATGACCCGACCTATGGAAACAGTGCCAGAGTCGTTTACAGCATTCTTCAGGGGCAACCTTATTTCTCTATTGATCCCAAGACAGGTAAATTTTTCATTAGAGACAATGTTATCACCACCCTTCAAATATTTAAACTTTAATTAAATTTTGGCATGGGGAGTTGCATGTTCTAATACAGCAATAAAGATTCAGTACATCACACACTAAGCAAAGAAGATAGGATCTTACCTTGCTGCTGCAGAACTAGTTTCCCTTAATGGAACTTTGTGTCAATATAATCCTTCTATATATATTTATAAAGTTGAAATTTGTTAGTTAGGGAGTCTCTGTTTGTCTTATTTTAAATTTTCAAAAGTCTACTTTTATTTCTGGCTAAAATGGCTTTTTATTTCAGGTTTCTTGACGGAGTTCAATTATAATCAGTGTTGACCACCTCAAAACACAGTACGATCCTGGAGTTTCTAGTGCTATCTGCAAAAGGGTTAGGGGCAACTAGTTTAGATTTATGCAGACTTATGCTTGTAGTGGGAGAAAAGAGAGATTTAACAAACTTAAAATTCCAAGATCATTGATTCAATAAGCCTATGTCTTTGAAGCCAGTCTCAGTTTTAAATTTAAAAATATATATATAGTTTCAAAGTCAAATATAATATGAATGGCATAGAAAGTGCAAGAAAATATGCACAGGGAAGATTTGGTCTTCCCTTTTAAATAAAATGAGGTCTCCCTGTTTCTAGATCATCTATTTATGAATACTTTGTTAAGAAGTTTCAGCCACTGTGACTAGTGATCAGAGTAGGCCTTCTTTGTCACAGTTAAAGCAGAAACTTCACAACAACAGGTATTTTATCAGCTTGTATAGAGTACATTATAATATATTGCATATTGAAATTAATATTACTTGTTACGTGAGCTTAAAACAATGAAAAACTGTTAACATATTCATCTAATAAAATACTTTATTAATTTGTAAATTTATCTTTTAAAGATCAGCATCTATTTGAAAGGTATAGTTTCAGATGCTTTACATTCAAATGGGCTATGCATTCTAAAATTTATCCTAAGAGGTATGTGTGAAAATATGGTATATCAATGAGATATAGGTTAATTAAAAATTAATTATGAGCCGGGCTCAGTGGCTCAGCCTGTGATCCCGTGCCTTGGGAAACTGAGGTGAGTGGATTGCCTGAGCCCACGGGTTCGAGACCTACCTGGGCAACTTGGCGAAACCTCATCTCTACAATAAATCAAAAAATTAGCCGGGCGTGGTAGTGTGCGCCTGTAATTCCAGCTACTTGGAAGGCTGAGGCGGAAGGATCACTGGAGCCTAGCAGGTCGAGGCTGCGGTTGGCCGGGAGCGGCCACTGCACTCGTCTGGGCGACAGAGTGAGACTCCAACTCAAAAAAAAAAAAAATAATTAATTATGTATGAAGTTTCCCTAGAAACATAAAGTCACCTGATGTTTCTCAATCAAAGTGGAATTGCAGAATCTGCAAAAATTTTCTGTCTACTGAGCCTGACACTCTCTTTTTATTTCTTATACTCCTCATCAAGCTAATAGGGGTCAGAGGTCATCATCAAAAAGGTAAAGGATTAAGGCAGAGAGTCACTTACTTATGTAAACCCTTCCCCCAAAAAATAGTGTATTAAGGACATGACTATTCCTTAGGTCAGGTGCAGTGGCTCACGCTTGTAATCCCAGCACTTTAGGAGGCAAAGGCCAGAGGATTGGCTTCTACCCAGAGATTTGAGACCAGCCTGGGCAACATGGTGAGATCTTGTCTCTAAAATAAACCAAACAATTTAGCCGGGCATGGTGATATGTGCCTGTGGTTCCAACTACCTGCAAGGCTGAGAGAGAAGGATCAGTTGAGCCCAGCAGGTCAAGACTGCAGTGGTGGTGAATGTCCCACTACACTTTAGCCTGGGCTACAAGAGTGAGACTCCAATGTTCGATGAAGTTTATGAAGGTACACTGTTCCAGAATAATTAAGAAGGTTTGGACAATGGAAAGAATAATTGTTGAAAATAATATAATAAGATTTGCTTTTATCAAGGGAATGCTCCTACACTGTTGGTGGGAATATAAATTGGTTAAACCTTTAGGAAAAGCAGTGTGACAATTTCTAAAAGAATTAAAAATTGAGCTTCCATAAGATCCAGCAATCCCTCTTCTGGGAATTTGCCTAGAAGACCATAAATCACTACACCAAAAAGACATCTGCACATGCATGTTTACTACACCACTATTCACAACAGCAAAAACACAGAACCAACTGTTTGAAAATGTACTGGATAAAGAAAATGTGGTACATACACACAGTTAATATTATGCAGTCATAAAGAAGAGCATGGCTTTTGCAACACGATGGATATAACTGGAGAGCATCATATGAAGTGAACTGTCACAGAATCAAAGAACCGAATATCACATATTCTCACTCATAAGTGGGGTCTGATCATAGGGCCACACAAGAACAAGGGAGGGATCAGATGCTGGACACTACTGGGAGAAAGGCAGGGAGGGAGGGCGGAATGAAGGGGGGCACATGGCAACAAACTGGGTACTGGGTCTACTATCAGGACAGAGAGGACCAACTAGAAGGCCAAACTTTACATGCATGCAATTTATTTCTATAGTAATCCTCACTTATATTCCACAACTTTAAAATAAAATAAAATAAAATATAAACTTTTTTTTTTTTTTTTGAGTTGGAGTCTCACTCTGTCGCCCAGACTAGAATGCAGTGGCCGCTCCCGGTCACCACAGCCTCGCCTGCTGGGCTCCGGCAATCCTTCCGCCTCAGCCTTCCGAGTAGCTGGAATTACAGGCTTGTGCTACCACGCCCGGCTGATTTTTTTGATCTATTATAGAGATGAGGTCTCACTGCCCAGGCGGGTCTCGAACCCGCGGGCTCAGGCAATCCACTCACCTCAGCCTCCCAAAGGCGTGGGATTACAGGCTGAGCCACCGAGCCCGGCTTATATAAACTTTTATCAGATGGGTCACTTTGGGTTAATATTCTCATATGAGGGTCCCTCCCAGAAAACAAATTATTTATTAAAAAATGGTGTATTTATTCTTACATGTTTAAACTTCAGTCAACTTCAAAGTACTCTTGGTTTGATGCAATACACCTATTAACATGTTTTTTCCACTGCTCAAAAAATGGCTGAGTTTTTTAACTCATCCATTTTGATAACTTCTACTGTTTTTGCTGTTTTTTTGTTTCACCTCTTCCACATCAGCAAAACGTTTTCCTTTGAGGACTTTTTTCACCCAGGGAATTGAAAAAAACACTCAGAGTGAGATAGGGTGAATAGGGAGGGTTAGAGCAAAGGGGTCCTGCCGTTTTTGGTCAAAAACTGGTGAACACTCAGTGCAGTGTGGGCAAGTGTGCTTATAAGTTACCCACCATCAAATGGACAAACACAAACACATTGAAAGAATCTTAAAAAAAAAAAAATTCACTGAAACCTAATACAGCCTCTCACAACAATGCTAGCAGGCACACTGATACCAATGGGTTCCTAGAACAATTACCTAACAGAGGAAGTCTGTGCTGCAAGAGGTCCAACCTCCGAAAGATAATTCCGGTTTTTATGGGGTCCTCACACTTACAATTACATATCTTTTTATAAATTTACTATACTGGATAATCTGATCAGAAATGGAAGTATGGGTAATAAATGCCCCTTAGAACTCTTCAGCTTTGGAGAGATACTTTTCAGAGATAGAGCATATGAAAGGAAGAGAAACGAGTGTATATAGAGATTAGTAAAGAAGGTCAATATTAGAGTACACTTATGAATTGCAATGATGAACTCCATAGAGTATGGGAGTTCATATACTCAGAATATGAGTGACAGAGGAAAAAATTAAGAATTTAATATTGGAGCCGGGCTTGGTGGCTCAGCCTGTAATCCCGTGCCTCTGGGAGGCTGAGGTGAGTGAATTGCCTGAGCCCGCGGGTTCTAGACCCGCCTGGGCAGTGAGACCTCATCTCTACAGTAAATAAAAAGATCAGCCAGGCGTGGTAGTGCATGCCTGTAATTCCTGCTACTTGGAAGGCTGAGGCGGAAGGATCACCGGTGCCCAGCAGTTCAAGGCTGCGGTGGCCGGGAGCGGCCATTGCACTCCAGTCTGGGCGACAGAGTGAGACTCCAACTCAAAAAAAAAAAAAGAATTTAATATTGGCAGGGTTCGGTTGCTCAGCACCAAACCCTGTAGTTCCAGCACTTTGGAAGGCCAAGGCGAGTGGATTGCCTGAGCCTGTGGGTTCGAGATCAGCCCCGGCAACATTGTGAGACATCCTCTCTACAATAAAAAATAAAGAATAAAAATTAGCCAGGCGTGGTAGTGCACACCTCTCGTTTCGGTTACTTGGTAGGTTGACGCAGAAGGATTGCCTGTGCCCAACTGATGGATGCTGGGTTGGTCGTGAGCATGCCAATGCACCCCAGCCTGGGTGACAGAGTGGTGAGACTCAACTCAAAAAAAACAACAAAAAAAATTGATATTGGAAAAATAACTATAGATTAAACCAATATCTAACTACAAAAGGCAACATAAATTTATAGAAATATAGAAATGTGAATTTAAACATAAAAGATAGGTTAAGAATATAACTGCTACAGGCAAATTAGTATCAGAAAAAAAAGTTGCTAGTTAATACACATGATCTCCTCTTGACATTACTTGGCCAATATCAACTTTAGATAAATCTGAATGCTTTCAAAAAGTGTTATTTTGCAATACAGTGTGTATATACATAATATGGCATTTATATATTTATATTTTTTACATAATGTTTATTATTTAGAACCAACAGCAAAACAGTTCTGACATAAACTGTATAATAGATTTTTGAAGCATTGATTTTCACTGGAGACAGAAGTCTTGATACTAACAATGCCTCAGACCACTAGACAGGAAAAGAGTGGATGGTGAGGCCTTCATTAATAGAATGAAAACTAGTTCTTCATGCACAGAAACCATTAAGAAGACTTTTTGTCAAATTTATCACCTTGTGGTAGATAAGAGTACATCAAAAATCAAGGATAATTGCAATTTCTCAGAAAT